GTTTTCTTTTCTTTTTTGTGTTTTATGCACTACTTTAATACTGAGTTTTTACGTTTACTACTATTTTAAGAATTCAATTGTCATAATGACCGACGATTATAAGTCAAAACTCAACAGGAAAAAGTCAGTAAATTATGGTTAAACTTTCAATATATAATATTGTTTATTCTTAAACCATATACATGTATATACATTTGTATTTTTCTTTATCATTTTTTAAATTATCAATCAATTGAATAATTCATAAAATCTGATTTGTAACTTTGAATAATTCCTCGGCATCTTTACTAAACACGAATAACAAATTAAATAAAATGTTTCAAAGTTGATAGTGTCATATTAATGCCATAAAAATGTACATTTTTTCTCAATTATTGTACATATTTATTGTTTTTATCTCATATAGATAAAATAAAACATGCGATTTGTGTTGTTGGTTTTTTTTCGAATTGTATGTTTATGTATAATAATAATCAATAAATTTGAGAGTTGATCTATTTTTATTAATTATTGTAACCAAACTAAGTGACAAATATTCATTTTGAAAAAAAAGCTTATTTATCTGTAAAATATTTGTTCTGTTCTGTAACGATATCAAACATCTACTCCAAAACCGGAAGAGACCGGACAATAAACGTGTGGTACTATTCGCCGGTCGTCAAAATAGACCAGGAGAGACCGGGAATTACCGACAAGAGTACATCCCTCTATAAATAGATTTTCGGAATATTTAGGTCATCAACACAACATTCTATTTACAGCTTTCGGAATAACATACCATAATAACCCACTGTGTACTACAAAATGATAAATAAAAATACCCCGAAGAGCGCGATTTATTGACGGAAAAGGTTAATTAATTTGAAAATGTTTGCATTGCGAAATTCTCCAGTTCGCTATTCATTGTAATTAATAATCAAGCACCCTCATACCGATCGGAATGATCGGCTTTTATTATGAACAACTATAAAGGCTCGAGAAGTTGCTGTCGCCCTTTCACAAAATCTGATTTCATTACATAAAAGGCGCCGCGCTTCGGCGCGGCGTCAATAAAGCAACATGACAAAATGCGGAAAAATTAGTACATTACCAGAACAAAGTAATAAAAGATATTGCATATGTTTTAAGAAGACATCTGCTTTATAATAGGTAATTGGCGTTTAATGTGCAAAAAGTAAAACAATGCGATATACTGATTTTCATGTTCTGATTTGTGATACTGCAATTTACAAATCGAGCAGTCAATATGTTCCTTTTTGTTCACTGTTTAATATATATTTGTACTGGGTGCCCTACTTGGGTTTGTCGGGGGGCCGCGTCCTGTGAACGTTGCCTTTGCCTTGTTGAGCTTTATTCTTGTTTATTTTTTGCTTTACTGCTTTGCTTTAATTACTTTTCTATACTTATTTTACATTACTTTGCTTTAATTTACTTTATTTTACAAAACTTTCCTTTACTGCTTTGCTTAACTTTACTTCACTTTGCTTTCCTTAACATTATTTTGCTTAACTTTACTTAATATTGCTTTACATTACTTTGCTTTTCTACTTTGCTTTACTTTACTTTGCTTTGCTTTGCTTAACTTTACTTTGCTTTACTTTGCTTTGCTTTGCTTTACTTTACTTTACTTTATATACTTATATAACTTTCAACATTACAACAGGAGTTGTCTTATATATATACCCTGTATCCTGTATTCAATGGATCTGATCTTAATATGAATGCTTTAATACAATATACTTGAATAGCTTATTTTGATAACACTGACATCATTTCTGAATTCAGCCATTCTAAAATTAACGCAGTTAATTTGCAAAACAAATATCGCCACTATAAAAAAGAGATAGCAGTGGGTGTACATACACGACTTCTAGTATTAATTTCTCATTTTTTGTCAAATATGATTGTGTCAAATTTTATCAATAAAACATGAACACTATTGAACTTCTGCATTCCTAACATATTCTTTGTTTTTACGTTTAGAGTGAAATTAATGTAACATCATTAATTTCGAGTTTTAACTATTTAATATAAAATAAATTCAAATGTTAAAAAAGAATCAGGATAATAACATCTTTGCTAAAGAACACAGATATTCAGATTTACAAATATTTAAGTCTTTTATGCATGTAGAATTTTAGATATGTGTTATAATTGGCGAAGTCTTGTATTTTATAAAAGAAAATGTTACAATGGAGGTAATCACATTGTATGATGTTCATAAGTATCATAGTTTCTCCCTTTAAAAGCCATGTGATTTTTCAATTTGTTGAGTATTTTCAAGTCATATTGTTTATATTTAAAAATTGCAAGTTTATGAAATTAAAAAACAGTTTAATTTTTAATAATGCTGTATTTAATTTGTTTCCAACAGCGTAATGGTTTGATAATGGAAAGTTATGCCAAATTTACTAAGGTGATGTGCCACAAATAAATAACAATGATTGAACTAGTAGATGTAATAACATAATATTTCGATTTCATATCTGTTAATATGCCGCGTTGAAGAAGTTCCACCCGTCGTGGAAGTGTTAGGGAGCAGGTTGCCTAAATGATAAATCAGAATCGTGCACGAACTCAGGCTACGCATTTTCCATCTACCCAAGCAAAACAACAAGCAGCATCATAGTTGCAAAATCCTCCAATGAAACCTCCAGCAGAACTAGAACACATCGTAAATAGTTAAGAGAGGTCGTCAAGATTTACAGTGTTAAAAATGAGTACTGGCAGCATTAATTTTTGCGTATCAAATTGAGTTTAGTAAACCTCATTTAAAGACTAAAATCATTAGAACAAGTCTAAAATAAATTGTTATGCGCACGATCCGTTTCAAAATATGACTTTAATTAAACGAAAAATTAACATTGAGGTGAATATGTCTGTAAAAGGAAAAATCATTTTACGTTACATTTAACGCTACAAACAATGATTTATTCCGTTTTTAATCCTTTTAACTGATTAAATTGATAATTGTTTTCTAAAAGCGTTTTTCTTTCATGTTTAAAATAGTAACAGTAAACACTAAAGCTGAAACTAACCAAGCTCTATTATATGACTGAGTAAACCGTGCACTGAAATTTTACGGTGGCTGCAATTCTGATGCCTAAACCCGTAAAAGCAACCCCTCAGCCACAAGGGGTGGCCAAATGAACATTTCTGTAGAATTTCATCAACATCTATTGTCGGTTGAGGACATGTTATTTCACACCTTTTTAAGCAATATTTTTAAAGGTCCATCTAAGAATCATTCCTGTTCAGTTTCATCAATATATACCGGACAGCTGTTTAAAGGTTTTTCTAGTTTTAGTTTTTGTGTCCATCTTGTTCAGTCGACCGAATCAATTTGAGCATTTTTGGAGGGGACAATACAAGGATCATTCTTGTTTTGTTTCACCACTATTAGTGTAGGGCGTAAGGACGAGATATCATTTAAGTAAAAAAATTAACTACGGACGACACGCACCGGACACAGGCGTATCACAATTTCTTACCTTGAGCACGTTAAGGTCAGGTGAGCTATCAACGTTTATCGTTTATATTAATTTTTAATTTTTCATCATCTTAAAGAAAACTCTTTTACTTCATGGATAAACATGACGGTATTTGCTAAAACATATTTATATTATAAGCTATTGACATATTATGATCAATATTTAAACGCGCATATTTTGTCAACTAATAATATATATCAATATTTTTTTTTGTAAAATTTCATTAGTCTTCATAGAATGTCAGTAGTACGAGATGTAAAATATAGAACATCATTTACAACTATAACTGTTAACTTTAAACTTGCTAAATTCTATGATTTGACTCCGGAACAATCAATTCAAAGTATAAGAAACTATAATAACAAAAGTCAGAGTAAGCAACTGTATAGAGACCGGTCAGTCTGCAAGGATGTACTAGCTGGTCAGGTTCTACAGTAGTGGTAAAGGCTTATCACTTGCGGCTCACGTAGTGTAAGGGTTCAAATCGTAATAATTGTAATGTTTGTTATCTTGGTTATCAATAGGATAAATTTATTCCCAACCGCATCCTCACCCCAACTTTGTTCTTGAACACTCTCTTGAGTCTTGTTTATCATCACTGTATTTTCTATATGCGGAAAAAAAACATGCTAGAAACGCAATATTTTTCCAGTGCATTCACACCTTTTTTTATTCTAATTTTAATTTAAGCATTTAAACTAGTCATACAAATCTAACAAACAATATCTTTAATAATCACTGCCGTTATCGTCTTAACCGTGATTGTATCGACAAAGTCTTTCTTACAAAATTGCGTTGGAAAAGTTTTGTTTTGAAATATATTTATGAACCGATTTACAATTTCGCAAATTAAATTTAATTGAATTCAAATGACATCGTATTTCAGTAGAATACGTAATAATCTCAAAACATCCTTTTAAGTTTGACCGCTTTGAAGTTGTTTAATCCGAATCCTCCTTGATAGATTGCGTCCCATATCTTTTGATATGCGTATCGGCGTATTGTTGATAACTACAGTACGTGTAGTATGACGATGCAATTATTCCAATCGGAAGTGCAAGAATTAGCACACCACACACTGCGCATGTCGACGCAATAATGTGACCAAAAACGGTGCTTGGGTAATAATCTCCATAGCCAACTGTTGTTAATGTAATCAGTGCCCAATACATCGCTACAAAAACGTTGTCGAATTTTGAGTTATGAAACATTTCTGCGATGAACATAATGAATCCGAATATGAACATGAGTATTCCGAGCATAAACATAAGTACCTTTAATTCTTGCAAGGAAGAAAGGAACGTGTATCCCATTATGTTGAATGCTGGTATACGTTTCACGAGAAAAAACAAACGCGTCAGTTGCAGTATTGACAAATATTTAAAAGCCACGTAAGTCCGTATGCTAGTTACTGTTGTCAATGACTCCAGATGAATTTCCATTATGAACGATATCCAAAATGACAAATATCCGAGTATTACTATAAATCGGAAATAGCTAAACATATACATGGTTTTCTTTCTTGGACAGACGAGAAATGCTACAAGGAAATCTACGGTTAAAATAAAATGGCAGCTTGCGTCTGTGTATAGTAAATATGGGTGTGGCTTGAGAGCTCCGAGTGCAGAGTCGGTGTTATTTTCGAGGCCAAGTAACTTGCCAATTTCAATGAGAATGCTCTTTTCGGATTTTGTTAGGTCGACAGTGAACATTGGTAGAGTTGCCAAGGCCTCTGTGATTGTTGACATAACAATCAGCAAAGATATAAAGCTTCCCCAAATCTGAAATCAACATCAACATACGTGTAATTTAGGAGAGGTTTAGTATCACGGTGTGAGAAACTGAAAAATAAGAACAAGTATGGACTTTGTCTTGATTTCCATCGAAACATTATACTTCTTTCATATTAACGGGTGAAATGAATATTTATCAACTCCAAAGTCTAATTCCCATATTTGTAACAAACCAGAAAAACTGTTAAACATTTGATTATTGATTAAATAAACTCTGTTAAGTGTCAAATATAGGAACAAAACATTTAGATAATTACGTACCATTGCATTTACTGAAGAAGACGGCTCATCGAGAAAAAGCCATATATTTTTCCTCCATGGTGATATATCACGTTCTTCTTCAACGAGACCTGCTTCACATCGAAGATATTTTGTTACCTTACGGATTTTAGAAACGTCATTTTCGTTACGGTACAGTGCCTCCCAGCAACATGGCGCCACGTGACTCGGAGAAACGCCCCAATAGTCAAGTTCTTCACTGAAAGAAGCTCCACAAATATCTTTTGGTAAATGAATCGTTCCTTTTCTGCAACCATCCAAGATACTGTTAAACATTAATGGATTTCTGTCAAAGAAATATTCATTTCTTGCCGAATCATAATTTTTCGTCTGCAAGTGAAGATTTGCTAATCTGGATTCCTTAAATGTTTTTAACGTTTTAGAGGGACATTCAAAAATAGTTCCACAAATATTGATTCGAATAATACCTTCTCTAGATAAACACACAGTCGTCGCCATTGCAACTGAATTGAAGTAATATATAAACATAAAAAAATAATTCATGTAATTTCAGTTTGTACAGCAGAACTTAGCATCAAGCTGATGACGAGATACATTGGTGGATAAGAAACGAAATAGTGCCTGTAATACCTTCTCTTTTATAGTCTGATATTTTCATAAGCGTCAAAGTACTGTTATAAGTTATGCAAAGTAACACATTGCATAACAGTATATTTTGATAGGCAGTGGTGCCCTTTAAATGAGCTTTTAACGATGATGTCAAAAGTCATTTACATATATATTCTATAATTGTGTGCAAATCTCCTGAATATTATACACGAGCAAACATAAAATGACCACTTGTCCATATCCCTGATAAATATTTGCAATTTAGATAGCAGACTGTCTGACTTTCTTATCATATGGTAAATTATATCTCTCATATGAAGTCCCATCCTTGTTCCTGTCCTCGTTTACAATTCTGAGCAGACAAAAACAAAGCTCAAACAGTCCACTAGAATCATATTATTTGTTCTTTTTAACTGACAACTTCAATACAGAATCTATGTAAAATGTTATGCAGTTATAAAATTCATTTTCAAACACGGTCCACCAAGCTCGCTGTACTTTGTAGACGCCTGAATTTCATGTCATTTTCTTTTTAACTGATTTCAGTCCTTACCATGCTCGAGCAGAATTGTTTTCCTTTTCTGTACAGTCTAACCAGGCTCTATACTGATGGCAGCACACTTTTTGTATTTATAAAACATGTATGCAGAAAACATGTCGTAAGATGTAAGTACTTGAATATATGGATGATGATGATCACAGAACAATTGCGAACTATTTTTTCCACATTGATGAAGCAACATCAATGAATTTGCCATATTTCTGTTTATTATATTAATATTTATCTTTAACCCTTACCCTGCTGGCCGTAACTGATTCTACCTATGCGACCACTGCAGCTAAAGACTACCCGGCACATCATAGTCTGTGATGTTCGCTATTCAGTAAGTATATGTTTTGAAAGTTGGTGTTGTATTTCTATGAATATAGCCTGTACTATATTTGGTGTTTGTTATAGTCAAAATATAATTGTATGCATATAGCTAGACCCTTTTCGCTAGATTTTTCGCAATTCGTTTATTTTCTGAATTCATTAAATCAATAAATTTTTGCATATTTGAGCGATTAACATAACAATTTGGTATAGAAGGTTTCCTTAAATCCTCAAATCACTGTAAAAAGTACATTCCAGAACAAAATGATATTCATCTTCTAACTTGTCACAAAAAATACATTTCCTTTCATTTATAGGTGTATTTTTATGTCTTGTTCACCTACCTGTTTCAATAAAAAAGCCTTTGCGAGCAATCTCGCATGCGAGACATACATACATGCAATTTTCTTACACTTAAAAAATTAAAGTATGGTTGAAATCTATGGTTTGATATATACCTGTTAGAGATTGTTCTGCTAAAGTCATTTAATCTACCAGACCAATTTTGTAAAAACTGATCTTTAAGTCTTTGCTTAACATTTATTAAGAACAATTGACATTACGCCACCTGTCAATCAAACTGACCAAGCCTTCGCCGATAAGCCAATCAGCGATCGATATCTGTTCACACTCCCGGAACGCTTCGGTTCCATCCAACCTCCGCCATTTTACTTAGACAAGCTACTTGTCTAGGATAACTAGCAACGGATTAAATTCTATAGAAAATATATTGATTTCTGGTAAATAAATATGGTGAAACGCTGCCAATTGGGTACATGTAATTCGGACAGCAGATATCCCGACAGACTGAAGGATGGAATTTATTTTATTCCATTTCCTAAGCCAAAAAGGAATTTAGAGAAGTGTCGTCGGTGGATCAAATCGTGCGGTCGTCCACACGATCAGTTAAATATCCAAAAAGTTGACGGAAACTATCAACTTTACGTATGTTCTAAGGTAAAATTTAGTTATATCTTACCCATTTTATACAAGTCTACAATGATAATCTGGTTTTAAGAAATCGATACTCGTCAAAGCCTGATTAAACTACTTTACGTTTATCATATTTGTATCTGGACATTGTAGAAACGTTTTGCTGACATTTATGTGCGTTTTCCATTCGTTTTGATTATAGTCAGACCAAATAAATTACAAAATATCATGCTATCACGGTAGATTTGTAGGTTAAATTCAAGGCTATATATAGCATCAGAACGTAAACATTACAAACTGACAAATCAGAAAGCATCAAAAGCACATGTTCTTAGTAAACAAATCCATATATGGAAAACGGTAAACATGAGCAATTCTTTGACCTTGACATATCTGTCTGAATGGAGAACCGCTGTCAGGTGCAATGACATGTATTCAGGTACAAAACTAGAATTTCATAAACTTATGACAGATTCTATATGTATTATGACATTATGTCCAATACATTAAATAGTATTTTCATCAATTTTGCTACACAATATGGGCCACTAATGATTATCATTCTACATTTAATGAACATTTTTGTATTTGTTGTGTTTATGTTAGAACCTCAATCATTGTAAACAGTTAATCATTTAAATATAAGGGCCGGCTAACTGTGATTAGTTGGTGATTATCTCATGGGATCATTGATGTAACATGTTGAGAATTGAGTACTGCTCGAGCCGGTGCTAGGGGGCTTGATGTTGCATTTATTCATTATCAAAACAGGTCTGCAATTTTCATGTAATTTTGTTGTGATAACCCTTCCAAGGAATCACTTTGTTTCCAGATTTATGTACTAGAAGGTTGATTTGAGAAAAGCGGGTTAAATTATATTGCAGTTTTAATGCAATAAATATCATAATTTCAGCATTTTCCAGAAGGGAAGCCGACGGAGAGTTTCCCAGATCCAGTGCAGGCCAGTTTTTCGGAAAGACTACTCAAGGTGACTCCTGTAAGACGACCACCGAAACGCCGCCCAGAATCAGAACCTCCAGTATCAAGGAAAAAGAGAAATATACTTTTAGAAATATTTTCCAGGTATTTATTTTGCATCAATGCATATTTAAAACAAATAAATTATAAAAAAGATGTATTCACATGAAGTAAAACTGTTAAACATAAATGAAAATAGTAACATCTTGATAATGCAGTAGTATTTAAAGTAAATTCCTGAGCATAAAATCTGAAGTATACATGTACGTAAATTCAATTTTGCTCTCAAAGTTCTAAGTGTTTTTGCATTTCACTTTTCATTATAGTGTCAACAATGAGAATATCAATGAACAGCACATAGATAACTCTTCACAGTCAACAAATGAATTTTGTGCTGATGTTTCTGTACAAACCGACTTTCATCAAGGTAATTAATTGTTTTCACTTACAGTACAAATTTACAGTAAACACAGCACAGTTTTGAAAGTAATGCTTCCATACTCTCCTTGTCCGCCTTAACTCTTATTACGCAAAAATCACACTTTGTGTAAGTCACAAAGTCACACCACTTTGCTCCTGACACAAGCAACTGGCCTTGAACTTGCCACCAGTAGTTATGGCCCTTTTTCAACTGAACATTGCCATTTATTTCATGTAGGTGAAAATCTCTTTTCTCAAAAACATCTCTTTCCATTGCCTCTCTTAATTTTAAGTCTCTACACCAGAAAGGACACTTTATTTCTAACAGGCCTGACTGACCATTGCAGCAGACTTTACCATCTGGTGTAGCAGCTATACATGGGAAGAGTGGATTCACCATTAATCCACAGTCATGCACATGGTTTCCTGTCATTTTCATATATTGCATTGAAGCTACTGACTCTTTTGATAACCCATACTCTGTTGGACTAGATTTAAATGGTTTACTATTCAAAATACTGTCGACACACTTTTTATTTACATCACTCTTTCTGTTCATAATTTTCCCAAAATTAGAGGCTGTTAGCCTCTGTTTTCTCTCTTTTTTCCAAAGTTCACTTCCTGATTGTTCTTTGGTATTTAATTCTATATAAACAGCTTCCTGTTTTGAAACTTTAACATTCTCAAAATGACTCTGATAGTCTCTTACAATGTCCAAATTTCCAATGTCAGGGGTGGTGGGAAACTCCCAATCAGTGGCACAGGGAGAGCTTGCTCCTGAGGGCTCTTCTACTGGCATTATCAGGGGAAGCTTAAATGAAAAGAAAACAAAATACAACAGCTGACAATATTTATGCAAATTCGATATGACCATAACAAAACAATTTAAATGTTTGTAGTTTTAAAGCTGCATGCCTCAAGATGAGCCAAAATATTTAAAGACAATCAATATTGAGAAAAATGCACTTAAGTTTTAAGACAGAAAATACATTCAAGATCCAAGTTATATTTTACATGTTATGTGCGTTTAATGACTGATTTTGTAGTATTTAATCACCATATGTCTACAGCATTACTAACGCAGTTATGGGTGTTTTAGCATATCTTGACAACTATTTGTTATTTTTTGTGGATTGTAAGTGCTGATTGCAATATGTGAATTACTTTATTTGTTCAACTCACAATATTTTACATTTAAATACATTACCAAAATTTTCAAATCTGGCGCCGTGCTGCTTTAAATTTTATGCTATATGTGCTTGTATACACCTTAATGTAAGATTGTGATATAATGTAATTGCAGGTGTGTCCCCAATTGATCTGCTTACCCTTGCAGCAGAGAATCATGGGTTAAAATCTGAAGTTGACCTTCTGCAACAACAGATATCAACTTTACAGAATCAAGTTGCAGACAAAATTCTGAGAAATGAGGAGTTGTCGCGTGAGAATGAAATATTACGGCAGGAAAATGGAAAGTTAAAGAAAAGACGTTTTCTGTGAGATATGTTCAACAGTCCAAAATAAAGAACAATTTTAAGTACTATACAGGATTTGTGTACACACAGTTTTTGTGTATCCTTAACTTTCTTATGCCAAAAAGGGGATTAAATGAGCTGCCATTTAAATTAAAAAAAAACTATATCTAAGGCTTTGAAAATGAAGGCTGAAGACCAGCTGCTTCTTGTTCTAATGAAACTGAGGCTAAACCTACAGTTTCATCATCTTGGAAATTTATTTAACCTATCACCGCAGGATACTGGTGCGATTTTCCGAGAGTGGATAAATTACATGTATTATCGGTTTGGTTCGGTTCCACTTTGGCCATCTCGTTCCTCAATAATTGACATGATGCCGAAAACATTCCGAGAAGATTTCCCTACAACAATGATAATTCTAGATGGAACAGAAATTAAACTTGAAAAACCTTCCTCACTCCGCTCTCAGAGTCAGTGTTACAGTGACTATAAGTCATGTACTACCTTAAAGGGGCTTGTTGGTGTCGATCCTAGGGGCTCATTTACATTTATTTCCATGTTATTTACAGGGGGGACATCAGATAATGAAATTACAGCACGAAGTGGACTAATGGACATGTTAAAACAGTTGTTAGATTGTGGCAGACTACAGAGAGGGGATGCTGTTATGGTTGACAAGGGATTTCTGATAAGGGAAGACATCGAAAAACTTGGACTCGAACTGATAATTCCACCTTTCGCTTCATCAACAGAACAAATGCCCCCATCAGATGTTGCACTTACTCAAAAAATTGCTAAACATAGAATTCATGTTGAAAGAGCTATTTCAAGAGTGAAGAAATTTAAAATTGTTGATCATAGACTGGATCTTACTCTGTACCCATCTATAAACCAAATATGGTTTTGCTGTTGTTTTTTAACAGGATTCATGCCTTTACTAATTAAAGACCAGGACAATAAATTGTTAATTACCTGATGAGATAGTGTACTACTGATGTGCTGTGACCCATGAGTTGTATTTGTTGTACCAAAGGGTTTGCTAGCCAAATAGCCTAAAGGAGTGTTATCCATTGACTGAAGGAGCTCTATGTCACTGTCAAGCACTTGTATTTTTCTGTAATGATAAATGCAAAATAGTAGCAATGAGAAATTAACTTAGAAACATTCAATACAATATGTTTATTTTAAGAAACTGGACTTAATTATTAGTATGTATTAACATATTTGTAGCTTATTTATTCATTACACAAAGTCAATAATCAAAAATTTAATAAATACTAAATGAATGTAATTTTATACATGTTGTGTTTCTATCAGTATTTATCATATATTTATGAATAAAGCTTATTGCTTAATATAACCATTTGTTGAATGTGGGGACTGACTGTCATATGAGTAAACATGACAGTAACACTAGAACAGCTGAACTCATGCCCCAAGGGTGGTGGTGAGGAAGACACCATAACCACTATGCCATTTTCCCCCCTTAAAAACATACCTATTGTCAATAAATGTTGGAACTAGAGGCCGTCTCTTTCTACCCGTTATACCCGACCTTGACATAGTCACAGTGGTTCAGGACAAATCCTTACACCACGTGGCCTATCCCATAGTTGAGGTTGACTGGTACAGGCAGGCCGGCTTGGAATGTCAATCAAACCTTCAGTTAACCAGTCGGTCAGTTTTAAAACAACTGCTAAAACATGGGAACATTCCCCAGACATACTGAAATTCATAAAAACATAAGTAATAATGAGTCATTACCTATTAATAAGTAGTATTTTACATTTAATAACTAATTGTTTATTAAAATTGAAAACGCTGTGATCCGATGCAAGGAAGACCTTTCATAATCCCTACTGTATAAACTGACACATTTTTTATTTACTCTCCTTGGATATATGACCCATAGGCTATATAAATGTTCACATCAAGGCTACCAGCATGTTCCTGGCGTTAAAAACTGAAAATGTGTGTGTCGTTTAATTATATAATATAGGTTTATTCTGCGCAAAATTATAATCTACTCGGTAGATTTTTATGTTATTTCCGGTATGCGACAGTAAACATGAACTGTGAAAAATTTCCCTAAAAATCATGGAAACATCCAAAACATATCGAATGAATCATTATAGAAATAGTGGATTGCATTGACAATAAACTTAATTTATAGTAAAGTATTTTACATTTTTAATGACTTCGTAAAAATTAAGTTTAATTACCCTGCTTTACATGAACAATGAGCGTCAGAGATGGATTTTTTCCCTACCGCCATGTTGATTGTATGCGGTTTCTCAGATTTTCTTTGTGAACGGAAAACTGAGGATTTCACATCAATAACCCCATCTCTTCCATGGAAAACCTTTACAGATGCAACATAACTCTCGTTTGCAAACTTTCTGCTCTGAATTCGTTGCCGAAGCGTTTATATAAGAGAAAATGCTCTCCAAAATCACAAGGTAAATCTCGTAAGCGAGCAGCCATATTGCGAAAGTTGTCTAAGGTTTAGAAAGACGATACCACGTGACTTAGTGGGCGGAGCGATCCTATCGTTGGCGTAATGTCAATTAAGGATCACCAATACTTTGGAAAAGCCAAACTTCATTAAAATCAAGAATACAAAATAAATCTCTTAACAATGAGCACCGATTTTTTCTGGAAGGATTATCTGTGATATCTTGTTTAAGAAATAAATATATATTTTTCTACTATATTTGTTTTCATCTGATTGTAACAACTTGATCCAGAAGTGTATTATAATATAATATCGCATATTTTACAGAGGCAATCTTCCCAACTTCCCATAAATAAAACCATTCTGTGTATTCTTTTTAACTCCCAATATACGTTTACAGAAATTCATATGAATACGTTCCACAGATTTGCCTTGATAAATGTAATGTGAAAACAAGCAAGTAAATTTCTACGTCTTTAAAAACAGATTATACATTACCTGTGTTAACGATCTGTCAGAAGCTTTTAGAATATAACGTTATACAAATTGTACATCAGCTCATTAACTTTGCTTTTTAGACAAGACATTCATTTATCGCTATTTTGACGTTTTGTCGCGAAAAAAAATATGGAAAGAAAAATACAGTAAATTAATTAGTATTCATTTATATTCTTACAAACATTTCAATTTCGTAGCATCTCGCAAATGCACGTTTGCCTTCAGGTCACAAACAAATAAGCACAAAGCTGTGAGACAGTTGCCTTGTCGCAGTTATAAGACGTCGATTCCAAGATGCAGTTGTCCAAGGTTGTATTGATATAAAAATAAAGTTCGGTATGCGCACTGTACCATAACCATATTAACTCTGACCAAAACTGATGGTGTTGAAAGCGGGACGAGTAAATACATCCTGTAGACAGGGGTGAACTTAACATGACTTTAAGTTTAAGGCAGGAATAAAAATCATTTTATCTTAACTTTGTTCATTTTTTTCCATAAAAGTACTTGTTTACATAAAAGTCATTGTATCCTCAAAATGAATACCCTTCAGAAAGGAGGTTCTGCATTAGGCATCTAATACCTTAACAACTTATGTTCGTTGAAATTGATAAGCTACTTCACACAATGCCAGGGTAAAAAAGAAGAAATAAATCACTTTATTTTACTTCAGATCTGCAGTATTATATTTTGTTTTTAAAAGTTACAAATAATGAATAATTTCATAGAGATCAGTGACAGATATAATTGATTATTTCAAACAATTTTATGTACGATAAATACATAGTAACCAATTATTTCATTATTCAACACAACTGCAAAATGTATTATATGTTTTTTTCAGGCAAGGTGGATTACTGTATGAAATGTATATTATTTCAAAGGATCTATTCATATTTTAGATTGATGACATTGCTCTAACACCATTACGATATGCTCATTGCTTTGTAATTAAATTGAAACATTTTAAACATTGAATTGCTAAACCTTTTGTTGCTGGGTCGTGTGGGGGTTGCGTTCATTGAATGCCACCTTTCCTTGTTGATCTTGTTTATCATATTCTATATTTCTTTACTGACAAGCCAGTCACCTTGAAAATCGACAGTTTGGTATATTGAGAGTTAAAAATTTATGAGGCATTCGTACTTTAATACACTACTACTTTTTTGTTTGCGTTCAACACACAAAAAAGGGAGATAACGCAACCATTGATAACTATTAACCGTCACATGACAGATCAGTTATTTCATCACAACTACTTACATACTATAATCATAAAAAATGAAAACTCATAAAATGTAATTTAAATTACGATGAATATATTTAATGCTTGTCTAAAAACTGTTAAAATCCAAATAATCAAATGATCATGTTTTCAAAAAGTTTATAATATACGATTTATTACTTATGTAGAAATAGTTTTTTTACTTTCTATTTTTCTAATATGTGTTTTTATATTCTTGACATATATTTTTTCCGTAACAACTAAAGGTATTTAATCAGACAACATTAAAGAATGTCGCGTTCGACGATTATAAATTTACACTGGTAGTAAAATAAGTACAATGACGACAATGCATATCTATAGATAAATAAAAGTGGTTGAAAGTTGGGACAGGTGTGACAGGTGACCTAACTGATGCCATCTTAACTTTATAATTTTAGCAAGTGCGAAATGATTTCTTTACAGCTACGACGTGTGCTCAATTGCACAGTTTCCTGTTATTTTGTGACATCGAACATGAATTGAGACTCGTTATTCTGACTGTTCACCTCTATAAATAGCAATATTCTTTTCAGTTTCATGCACTTTGACCTCATATAAAAGTCCAGGTGTAAGTTGATCAGCCATTCTCTCCCAAATATACACTGCAATATTCTCTGCTGTGCTAATTTTATCTTTAAAATAGTCCACGTCTAAATCCAAATTTTTATGATCAAGTGTTGACATAAACGCTTCTTCCATGTAAGCTTTAAGATCGGTAAGATTGAGCACCATTCCGGTCACAGGGTCAACCAGGACCACGTAACAGTCACCTCGACTTTGTAATTGTGACCGTGGTCCTTTAGGGTTATTACATTTACCAAATATAATTTGGTTATCTTCATCTGAAAGATTATTGTTATTCAGTCGATGACATGCGCTGAAACAATCACTACGGGAGATATAGACGATCGGTTGCTTTTTTACAGGAAACATTATTTCTCTGGTTTAAAATCTGAAAACATATAATAGAAATGGTTTAAAATCTGAAAACAATTATTTCTCTGGTTTAAAATCTGAAAACATATAATAGAAAAAAAAGTATCATCCAAGTATCTTTTAGTATTTGTGGGATTGCGATAGTGTATTACATGCATACAATTTACTTGTCATCTCACAAAAAATGTGAAGAACAGATTCGAATTCTAGCCCTTTAATGACGTCATGGTACATTGCCGATACAAGATAGTTATTCTTACTACTTTTACTCGTGTTAGATGCCCGAAATTTTGTTAAATTGAATAAGTACACATGAATAATATGTTTAACATAATACTCATACGTCAGTTTCAATGCTAGATCAATGTCACCTCTAAAGAATTAAACATGTCTCATTGTGTCACAGGCTTAATCAAACCGAGCCTGCAACATTTTCAATTTTGCAGTGTTGGCTTTCTTTATGGATTCTTATTTTCTCTATTTTACCACGCATATACAAATCGTATGTTTTGCTAACCACATAACGATATCTATCTTGTGTTTCAAAAACTATCACTGTTCCGGAAGGTCGAAAACGGCACCATCATTGTCTTCATATAAGTATGAAAAATTTTTGGGTTTGGGAAATTTTTTTACTCTTATTAACTTTTTAAAAATGTAAAAAACAAAAATATAAGAAATTTTTATTTAAATTTTATTTAAAACATTGTCAAGCTTACAATGTTAAAACAATAAAAACGATTATATAGATATTTGTAGTACTTTTTAGAAAAGTAATTTAATAAATGTAATAATTCTTAGTAATGTATACTTATTGTGTCGAAGAAAACAAATAATTCGGTCAGTCTTGGATAAATTTCTCATAAAAATGATATACTAAGTTATTTTAATGCACAACACACTATATAATACGTATAAAACAAAAATCATGTAGTGATTATTTTGAACTTAAAATTAATTTTAGTAATTTATATTTTGCTTATAAAACATAAGTGTGCTGTCTTCGTCGTGTCGCGTAGCATGTTGCCTTCTTTCGGTTGCGTAGCATGTTGCCTTCGTCGTGTCGCGTAGTGTGTTGTCTTCATCCTGAGTCATAGTGTGTTGTCTTTGTCGTGTCGTGCAGCGTGTTCACTTCGTCGTGTCGCGAAGTATGTTGTCTTCTTCGGGTCATGTAGTGTGTTGCCTTCGTAGTGTTGTGTAGTGTGTTACCTTCGTCGCGTCGCGTAGTGTGTTATCTTCGTAGTGTCGCTTAGTGTGTTGTCTTCGTCGTGTCAGAAAGTGTGTTGTCTTTATTTTGCCGAGAAAAGAGTGTTGTCCTCATCTTGTTTCATAGCATTTTGTCTTCGTCTTGTCGCTTAGTGTGTTGTCTTCGTCATGCCGCATAGCGTGTTGTTTTCATCTTGTCGCTTAGCGCTTTTTCTTGCATATCAGACAGAATTATTGGAGAGGTCATCAGACATCATTTGAAGTTAATAAATGTCATTTAAAGCCTAAAATCATTAGAATCGGTATATGAAAACGGTGGCTCAATTGAATCTATCCATCAGAGAGCATAAATTCACTATATATCAAATTTCGGGATTAATAATTCCATTTCTGGAAAGGGAAAAACTGAAACAGGAACATACCGTAAGTAAATATTGACTTGGCGTCTATTTCTATTATTCTGTATTTTATTAATTAGTTGCTTATTAAGGTAATTATTTGAACTGTAATGTATCAAAATTGAACAGCGTACACACGTACTTCAATCAGTTAAAACTTACGTACTTTTTTATCAATTCATGAAATGATCGTGAACACGCAGAGTCGCATTTCTGGAAAATACTTTTACGAATCTTTGAAATGTTTGAAATGTTGGTAAGTGGCAAGGGGTTCCGAATCTAAACTTGAATGAGAACCATAATAAGACAGGAAACAAAAAAAACTGATCCGGGCGTGCTTCGAAACATAATAGCGAGGTGACCTGCTGGTACTGATTTCCGGTTTGCTCCAAAAATAACTGGACAGTAAACAAAATAAACCTTTAATGAAGAGCAGACAAAGTTGTCACCTAAAATTTTGATGTACTTCCGGCAAATGTTTTCAAAACCATCACTTTTGAAGGTACTCGAGTTTACCGTAATGCTCGCTGTTATATGTGTGGATATGTTTCCTATCTCATTATGGTTCCCATTCAAATTGAATATACATGTATTAAAAAAACTTAGATTAAAATAGCTTAATAATAATAACAATAATAAAAATTATGCCAATGATAATAATTACTATCTTTATTTAAAGGTGACACATGAAGATATACCATCGTTAAGAACAAATAACATATATTAACTGAAAATCTACATAACACACACAAATACACACGCACACACGCACAAATCACCAAACAATAATAACTATTCCCCATTGCGTCAATAATTATTTGGTCCTGTAACAAACATAATTTTATTTTTTTTGACAACGCACCTTTAAGATATTACATATCATTCATACTTTTTCAATTAAGAAATACTTTAACAAATATACAAGTACATGCATAATAAATATTATAACATAGTAACACAATGACAGGGTTATAAATATATTTATTTGATCTGCAAGAAAGGCTTTTTAACAAGATGTCAGAAAATTAGTGAAACGGACTTTAAATGGTATTCTACTCCAAATCTTTGCACCGTTGTTACAAAAAGTACATGTATTTTACCATAGTTTGTGCGGTGTTTTTAGTATCACAATGACATGCTGATTTTATATTGTTACTTTTATATTATAGCATAATGATATCTACAGATAAAGGCGTCCGCCATTTAGTACCCATCATTACAAACGAAAGACAATGAGAATCCAATAATTCAGTATCGCTCGATTGGTAAATTTGTTGGTGATATCAAATAAGGTTATTACACTATTATTTACTATTTTATGTTCAATATCAAAATGCAATCATTTGATCAACCTTATGCCAAACTGAAACATATAAAATAAAATATATTTCAGCCTAAAAAATCTGAAAATTATTTTAATGCATAATTATATAATAATTTTCGAATTTCACCGATTAAATTTACTTACTCAAAGTATCCTTTATATTTCAGATATACTCATTGCAACACATTTCTCTATTGATTTGAAATGTATTTATGTGAGTTTATCGTATATATGCATCGCAATAATGAAGTGCCTGCTTACCAAACCGTGGAAATACTGGTTGGGTTGATTGAGCTTGACTATAATATGAGTAGAAATTTATTCTGTCTTTTCACCAACCATTTTATTTATATCGATATTCTTTTTAAAGGAGCCCCGCTAAGGTCAAAACGTCTAAAATCATAAACTTTTAAATTCTAACAAAGATCAAGTGAACCACTTTTAAATGGAAAAATCTGCAAAGTAAAATAAACAAAAATACTCAGAATGAAATTCAAAAATCATCAGTAAGTGCAATTAACAGCCTGATTTGAGTGAAAAACGTTCATGTTGGTCTCATTTTGCACAAGAAAAAATATATGAATAAAAATGCACGGGAATGATTTGTTAATTTGTTGTCAATTTAATGATTCAAACCTATAAGAAATGGTTCAATCTTGGACAAATAGTTCAAGTCCCATTGTGTCAAAAACAACTCAGTGGTCATCTGGCATATCTAGTTTGAATGTCACATTGTAGGACGAAACGAAGCTTGAAATGAATCGAACATTTAACATAAAACACAAAAAATATTTTTGAAAGCTCGTGCATAAAATCTTATATGCTTTTATATGCTCTGAATCGAAAATGTTCATAATATTAATTACTATGAAATAAGTGAAAAGAAACGTATACATTTACATAATTGCACTTATTATCTAACAAACGGAGAATTAAATAACTACTCTAAGAAATGATATTTTATTTTATTCTTACATTTTACATGTATTACTAAGTGATATGTTCAGAAACTACAGGGTATCGTTGGGCCCATCTTTTAGTCGTGCCACCGACTTAAATTAACAAAAACACGCCCCCCCCCCCCAGAAACACTACACTGGGGCGATTTAGGGATACACGGAAGCGACAAAACCATAAACAGAAGCGACGAATGGTACTAAAACACAGAATTATTAACTGAGTAGGCATGGCGGCATCAAATGAGTTTGAATACGCATGTTCATGAGGAAACAGAATTGCGATATAAAACAAAAGCGGCAAGACAACACGCCGAAACTAAGACACGATACACCAAGGCGACAAGACAGCTCGAGAAAACGATGACACGACGAAACAATACCCCAAAAGAAGCGACGATACTCGAGCCGCAGATACGCTGAAACGACAGGGTATTTAAGTGATGTCACGGCGGGACGGTAAATAGCTAAAAAAGGAATTTTTAAAGACGCTCAAAACAACAAAATTGAAAATAATGCAGACTTGGTTTGATTGAGCCTGTTCATGGACAGTACAGTTACCGTCTACGACCCCTAGCAACGGCTTAAGCAGAATTTAACATTTAAACACGAAAATAGTGAAAGTTGTAATTTAGAAAACATTGCAGATGTGTTCATAAAGCGGTTATCATGGAACATTCAATGTAAAAATTTCTTGCCATTCCATAAAAAGTGGAGTATTGTCTCCAAGTGAAAGAAAGCGTGTGCAGTAAAAGAGGAAATAATGGACATAACGAAACAGTACAGAGATGATGATTAATAAAGCGAAATGTTGATGCGCGGAAGCGATAATACGTAAAAGCGATGTCATAACGAGACGATGCAGCCAAGCGAGGAGACGAAAAGACAATGATTTAAGAAACAACACGATGTTAGGGCATGATCTTTATTTCGCGTTTTCGCATTGTCCTATCACTTAGCCCTATCGTCTCGTCGTTTCGGCCTATTGTCTCGCCGTTTCGGTGTTTAAAGTGTATCAAAGGTCACCAATGCGAAGAAACAATGATCCAAACGTAACGTCCTTTGACGACATTGTTATATATCCTGTTCTTTTGTTTTCCTTAATCTATGTTT